CCATCCCCCCACCACCACTAGGAGATCAATCCCCAGCATTCTCCTACCTGCAGCGCTGCTCCTGTCTGCTCAACGTCCTCTCCTGCTCTGTCCCTGCACACTCTGCTCCTGTACACAGAGCCCGCCCCCCCCTCCTTCACTGTATGAGTGCCACACAGGGCAACCAATGGGCAGCCGCCCACTCTACTCCCACTCCTCCCCTGTGCTGTGAACCTGAGAACTCCACTTCTGCCCGCTGTTAGTACAGCACAATGCAGCCCCTGCAGAGAGACCGAGCCGCTTGTGTGATAAGGGGGGAAGGAGGGGGAGGGGGGGGTTATAAATGAAATTTTCAGGGATGCATTCAAGACGGGGTGATGCGTCTTAGCATGCAATAATATATCCGGAGAGGATGGCATTTTTAGGACACGTGTAGACGGGTGTTGTTTTGCTGCATTTGACATGCATGCTTCAAATGGGGGTCAGCGGATTCGTAGGGCTTATTCATACCATGTCCGGAGCAGAACATTTTTGTCAGCGCCTAAAACGCATCCCAATGTATTCCTATGGTATTTCTGGGCCCTGTTCACACCAGTGCGGTCCGTAAAAAAATTACTGCATGCACTATTTTTTCTGGTCTGGAACGCACCAAGACGCATGTAAACGCATCAAAAACACATGATGCATTTGCAAAAAAAATGTTGATGCCCCTCCATAGCAATTTTTTTATTGTCCCCCCTCCTCTATAGCTCTATAGTAAAATCTTGATGCCCCCCTCCCCCCATAGAAAATTTTGATGGCTCCCACATAGCAAAATTGTGATGGTCCCCCCCATAGCTCCATAGTAAAATCTTGATGGACCTCCCCACCCAGCAGCAAAATTTTGATGGTTTCATAGTAAAATGATGATGTGTGCGCTCTTTGCTGCGTTTGCCCATTGATTTTAATGGGTACCACACACGCAACAAAGTATCTCATGCAGAATTTTCAGCTGCACATTCTGAACGCACATCAAAGCGTGCACTTTCGGCGCGCATTCATACAATGTGAAGGTATAAAAAAGGAATTACGTAAACATGCATAGAATGTGCTAGATATGCATCTTCTCTGGCTACTGGAATGACAACAAGAAACCCGGAAGTGATCAGAGGGCGTCGCTTCCAGGTTCAACGATCAGCAAGCAGATGTTTGCTGGGGTCCCTACACTCTCCCTACTGACACCCACCATGGACATCCCGAGTACCCAGGAGGGGTAGGTGAAAGCATATCCCATAGGACACATGGTGGGAGGGGTGCATTCTGCACTTTGTAGGAGTAGATTGAGCCACCCAAATCCCTTCTAACAGAAAGCTATCCCTGACAATGGAAGGGTTAAATTTGTTATAGACGCCCACTCAGCATTTTTTTTACCATGGAGGAACCCTCAAAATTATTTATATAGCGCCGTCAATTTATACAGAGCTTTACACAATGTATATTCACATCAGTCCCCGTCCCCAAGGAGCTGACAATCTAAAGTCCCTACACATACATACATGCACATACTAGGGCCGATTTAGGCGGTATGTAGACAGTACTGCTCATCTCCTCCAGCCTCCTTTCAGCCACTTCCCATCTACATGCATGTACTCCAGCATCCGCTCAGGATCGGCTCCCTAATGGACCTTTCCTGCGTGTGGTCTCAGCTATGGGTGCAGGTGACAGGGTGACAACATAGGGGCGCAATTATGAGACAGTTGTTGTTACCCCATGGCAGGAAGTGCCTGAACAAGGACCTCCATAGGAGGATCACCAGTAGGGATGAACAGAGCGATCTTGCTGCAAATTTCCTGACTTTTTTTTTGGAAAAATCTTTTTATTCATTTTGCATAGTAAACAATTACATTACAGTAACATTCGGGCACCAACATAGCACCCCATCCATACACAACAGTGTATACATTACGGCATAACGTATGCCAACAACCGTAAAGGACCATGCAAGGTCCAATAAACGAACCCTCTGACCATAACCCTCCCCCTCCCCCTGCCCCAGGCACAGGTAAATTGTTACAATATAATTACAACCAATCCACCCCCCATCCGCTCCCTGATGTGAACCGTTACAGCCAATCTCTTTAGCGCTTCCCAGAAAGATGCAGAGTACCAGATTCAGTCAAAGGCAGTTAAAGAATATATATAGGGAGTGGAAGGATTCCCAATGCTCTCACCACAATCTCATCCTTGTACAATATTGTCTCCCCTAAAGTTCCAGGAAAGCCATAATTCTCCCTCTAGGCATCCCCCTACCAGGCTTGCAACCACCATTCGGATGCCATAATTGTGCACCTAGGCTGGTAGTGTTGCGTCAGACTCCATCCAGATGGACCAAATTCTATCAAACTTTTGAGGACACCCTCTGCTAGCGTAAGTGAAAACTCCCAATTTTGCTCACCCCTAACCATCAGCTATTCTTTTAATGAAAGCCGTAGATCTCAGAAGCGAAACATATGAAAGTCTCTATATAGTGATCGAGGTTTAGGGCTACTTTATAGGAGAACTATGGGGTCAGGGCTTTTCCTAAGGGTCACGGGAGAACACAAACTAGCGTTCTCCCGTTACCCAAAGCTCAGTATACCGCAAGCTACAGCTCGCGGTATACTGAGACGCCGCAGCCGGAACGGATCCCGACATTGCTGTCGAGATCCGCCCAGCTGCGGGATTGACAGCTGGCTGTGCCTATCTAGAGGCAGAGCCAGCTGTACCCGCCCCCTCCCCTGTCCGTTTCGCCAGTCAGCGCTGGAGGATCAGACAGGGGATGGGGGGAATCCATGCAGGGAGCCGTGAGTGACAGTCACTGCTCTCTGCACGGATAGATCGAGAAGTGAGCGAGCGCCGGTATGTGTTCGCTCACTTCCCGATCTACCTAGCCAACCTGTGACAGTCTCATTGTCACAGGTCGGCTCAGATTATGAGGCTGAGTGAAAATCACTTGCCTCATAATTCTCCTTTAAGGCTTATCTCCACCCGGGACGCCAGATAGAGCGTCACTGGTTGCTAAGAGCTCTTAGCAGCCTGGGATGCTCTGGCCAAACGGGATAGAAGGCAGACCCTCCACTCACCCCCCAGGTGAACCAATGAGATGCCGCCTAAGGACAGCCTGAGTGAACCCATACTTGCGATAAGCACAGTAATGTGCCTTTTGGAACGTGTACCCCTAGCTAGCACCACTGGGCCTACATCTTCTATGATAAAATTCACAAATAAAGTCCCAATAAGCCCGCTTACCAAGCGGCCAATAATGATGTACAATAGATGAGCGGAGGTAACACTTTCTCAATGTTCCTTTCCACAGCCAAAATTTGCGAAGTAAGTGTCCTGGATTATGTGCTCCTGAGGGGGAGGGGCTCTATTGGAATATTCAGCTTGCACCTGGGAGGTGGCTACTGTCCATTGTTTGAGGCATCCAATGAGTATAGAGGTGGAGTTCAGCACCTATTGGTGGAGTAGCGTATTTAAGGAAGCTGTGCTTTTCCACTGTCCATAAAAATCTCAGAATAGCCGGATGTACACGGACAATCTACCATCTTCTAGCTGGACTAGGAGACCAATGTCTTGTAGCCCAGCTTCTGCTCACAAGTGTTCCTGGTCAGAAAGTGGAAGAAGGAAGGATGGCCTCATGTTGGCATTCTATAGAGTTAGCTTATCTTGAAGGAAACAATAGCAACTAAACATGGGCTTCTAACCTGTACTATCATTGTTACTCCAAGAACAGTCATCCATGGCTGTGGGGGCTACCACATAGATGTTTAATCTAATCTAATCTAATCCCACCTTTGGCCTGGAGTAGGATTGTAGTCTTCTAGTCAGCCTTATGCAGACATGATCAACCTTAGAAAGAGACAACTGCATGCTGGTTGAGGAATGGTAATGGATGACAATAGCAGTATAGCTCAATGGTCTCCATGAAATGGGCTCATGTGTTGGGTTTTTAACTCTACCCAGATGGGAAGGTGAGTACAAAATGTACTGAGCATGAGATATTCCACTAGTTGGTCCCTAGGTGATAGGCTCACTTCCAAACATTGGTTTTCAGTACATATTAACAATATAAGATAAGAATTGGATCAAAGATGTAGAGAACGGGGGATAGGACTGGCTGGGGTACAAGTCATGGATAACCCACCCATGTATCTTGTATTTCTTCTATTTTCTGTCATGTCTTCTTTAAACGTTATGTCATAGCAGGTGGGCTGTTGGGAATTCTTGTCTATTATTGTATAAAGTGTATGTGCAGCCAAAAACCTTTTTCTAGTTTAGATAGAGCGAGGAAGGATTAGATCTTCTGTTGGGGGTTTACTGCTATCCGTGGACCATTAGGGAGAGGCACTCACCAGTGACCACCAACAACAAGGGGTCCTTACCACTAAAAAAAGGGGGCACTTACCACTGACCACCAACAAAAAGGGGACCTTAACACTGGCCACCAACAAAAAGGGGACCTTACAACTGACCACCAACAAAAGGGTGACCTTACCACTGACCATCAACAAAAAAGTGACCTTACCACTGACCATCAACCAAAGGGAGACCTTACCACTGACCATCAACCAAAGGGAGACCTTACCACTGACCATCAACCAAAGGGAGACCTTACCACTGACCATCAACCAAAGGGAGACCTTACCACTGACCATCAACCAAAGGGAGACCTTACCACTGACCATCAACCAAAGGGAGACCTTACCACTGACCATCAACCAAAGGGAGACCTTACCACTGACCACCAACAAAAGGGGGACCTTACCACTGACCACCAACCAAAGGGGGACCTTACCACTGACCATCAACAAAAAGGGGACCTTACCACTGACCACCAACAAAAGGGGGGCCTTACCACTGACCACCAACAAAAAGGGGATCTTAGCACTGACCACCAACAAAAGGGTGACCTTACCACTGACCACCAACCAAAGGGGGACCTTACCACTGACCACCAACAAAAAGGGGACCTTACCACTGACCACCAACAAAAAGGGGACCTTAGCACTGACCACCAACAAAAGGGTGACCTTACCATTGACCACCATGAAAAGGGGGGCCTTACCACTGACCACCAATGTAAGGGCCACTTACTACTGACCACCAACAGAAAGAGGGAACATACCACTG